AAAAAAAAAATAAAAACCCTTTAAATAATGAATTTACGAAACTTTTTGATTATAAGAAAATGTAAGTAGATCGGTGCAATCAGAAAGAACCTGTTACTCAGTGCACTTCCATGTAGCAGTGCCGATCAGCAAGAGCTTTTACTGCATGCGAGTCCAAATACAATGTACGTACATATATTCCACGAGAGAAGCTTTCTAGAGCTTTCAATAAATTTTGTAAGGACGCGCACCGAGTAAAAGCTCTCCTTGCTCGTCGCAGTTATAAAACGTACAGAAAACTTTGGAAGGCTGCTCACAGGTGTTGTTTTGGACTTGACGACTGTCAACCAGAGGTATTAAAAATATCGAGCTTTCGAAAAGCTTTTTTATTTCCAGCTAAAATGTTTATTTATGAATAAATACAGAGCAGAAAATTTCGAAAAACCTACTAAAACAAAAACCTACATAAAAACTAAGCATTTTTTAATTTTTTTATAGCAACAGCTCGCATTGAACTCCGATTAAAGAAACTTTTGATTCTTCTGCAAAATTGAAAATCTTCATTAAAAAACGCGCCTCTAAGAAAAATCCCTGTTAAACAGATGTTTTTAAAATCGGGGCGAGCAGAGAGTGCTTTTACTCTAATAAAAAACAAATTTAATGAAATATTGAGCTTTAAATCTTTAGTGTTAGCCAGAGTTCTAATAAAGCAATTAAAAAAAGTCGCCATGAATATATCTATAGCAGTCACTACCAAAAAATAGCTTTTTGTGGGCTTTTTAATATGGATGCGTACAGTGTAAAAGCTGCAATAAATACTACATTACGAGGACAAACGATTTTGTTTGCTCAAAGAACAAAAAATAAAGCAACTAAAACTTTTTGAAAGCTTAATTCTTTTCAAGAGGCAAAGCAGAAGATTTAGCTTTGTCATGCTTACGAAGATCGTCACCATTTACATAAAAAGTTGTCTTACATCTCGGAGCAATCGGCTCCTCAGCCATGTTTTAGAGAAGAAAGTGTTTTCTATTTTTAAATTTTTTTTGAATTTTTTTAACCTTTTTTCACAACGTACAAAATTTTTTTATTGTTACTCACAAAATTTAGTGTACGATTTTTTTGTTAATATTCGCAATGCTTTACAAGCTAAAATTCTTTTTTTATTTTTGTATTAAAATCTAGCCTATACTTTAATACAAAATTAACAACAAAA